GTTACTTATGTTGATTAATGAAACAAATACTTACTAACTGGTAGCTATTCCACCCACCTGAATTAAGCTTTTCGCTTCAAGTTTTCTTGTGCGAACAGCAAAGGAGTGGAACGGTTTGCCAGAGTCTCTGTTTCTAGAAGGATACAGGATCGAACCTGTCTTTCTTCAAGTCACGAGTGAATAGGTTGCTTATGGACAGGCGTGTTTCATCGTAGGCAGCATCGTCACTTACCAACAGGCGAGACAGTGGAAAAGCGCCTACCTATTACCAAGTTAAAAAACTACTGAGAGAATAAAAGATGTTATGTTATGTTGCCCTACACCGGAACAATAACACCACTGTCTACATATACAACAGTATAATGTGATTATTATAACGAGAACAGTCCGACATAACATTTTACAATGTCATAAAATGTCTTCAAATGTAGGTTAACGCGGCGCTCTATGATTTTTGTGAGTTCGCGCTGTGGCGCCTGTGTTAGCGGGTGGTAAAGAGTGATGAATTTATATGAGAAGTTTCGCGGCAATGCCTACAAGATGGCAAAGTAAAAAAAAACCTTAAATACCATAAATAGACAATTCTACTGAAAAATAATATAAATAGAAAAACTTAATCATAAAAATTGTTTTTGTTTAAATAGTAATATATATATATCATCTGAATTAAAAGAAAGGTCTTTTTTTAAGAGTTAAAGGTTGTTAAAACGAAAGAAATCCGTCGTTTTTATATTTATAATGTGAGGGTCATACATAAATTAGCTTCTGCCCGCGACTTCACCCGCGTTTACCCAGAATATAAAGTATCCTATGTGTTTAGTAATACCATAATCATTTCAAATTTCATCCAACAAACATACACACAAACTTTCGCATTTATAATTTACATAGTAAGATAAGATTATTATTAACTACATTTAACTTCGACGATATTATCAAGTTACCACAAAGTCTAGGCATAGCTCCAACTAGCTGCAATTTTCTTTAGTAAAATCCGCGACGTGTTATCCGCTATCCGCTCTCACGAAGGCTCCACCTTAACATTTTATAGGACACAAACGTAACCCATAAAAGTCTCGCCGACCTACTATATGATATTTTCTCCAAATACGAACATTTGTATCGAAATCTGATGGAATTTGGTACATTTTATATAAATTGTTGACTGAAGCGTATATACTTCTGTAAATGTCTAAATCGTGCGCGGAAATGGTTAAATGTATCTACAGATTATGGTTAACCCATACATCTGTGTGTGTCCGATCCGTGATAGTCCACTGCTAGAGTATGAGTCTCCTCCTTACATTTTGGCTTTGGGAATTAGATGCTATTCTAACCTGCCATCGCCATACAGAAAAAATCCTAAATATGCCTAGGTTTAAGTGTGGGCCATGCTTCGGCACGAATGGGCCGGCTCCACCGGAGTGATAACACGACCAAGCAGAAGAGTAGTGAGGTTACCGGAGGCCCAATTACCCTCCCCCCATTTACCCCAATCCCTGAAACCCTCAAATTTTTAATCCCCAAAAGGCCGTTAACGCACTTGTAACACCTGTAGTGTTTCAAGTGTCCCTGGGCGACGCCGATTGCTTACCATCAGGTGATCCGTCTGCTCGTTTACCAGTTTATCCTATAGAAAAACCTAGGTATATATCACAGTTCCATTTTATACCCTATCATCATACCAGTTCTGATGTCGTATTTGTGTTGCTTGCAGGGCTCGCCCCACGGATCGGTGATGTCGTGTCAGTCGCTCGCCGCTCGCGCCTTCGCCGAGCCCGAGAAGGACATGACACATTGCAGTAGTTTCCATAGGTAAGATTATATTGATGAAGCTTGGTTGTGTTGCAAAGAATATCGATTTTAATTTCTTGTTAGCCGTACCGGGTTACTGGGGCTCCGGCTCGAAGTGTAGGAGTAGGAACGGGGTGGTTTTCAGTCAGTAAACGTCTGACACTCCCTCCCGTCTCACCCAGGCGGGAACAGTCATTCGATGACTTTTCCCCCTTAAAAAAAAACTGTCAAACCTGTACGGTGTCTACAAAACCGGTACTCGACGAGTTGAGCTTGAGAGAGCCATGCTTCGGCACGAATGGGCACTTATAACGCCTCTGTGGTTTCGGGTCTCCATGGGCGCTGCCGATTGCTTACCTACCATCAGGTCATCCGTCTCGTTTACTGGCTTATCCCATAAACAAAAGCAAGCAGGCTCTCTAAGACTTCTATCAAAATCAGTTAATAGATAACTTCTGCTTATTCATTTTTTTCTATTCAATTCCAGTCATATATTTTTACATACCCTCTTATATTTTAACATACCCTCTATATTGAAATCAATCAATATTGAATCAGGAGTTGACGTGTAAAATCTTTACAAATTAACATACATAATTCTGTACAGGACAGGCATAATTTTAACCTTGTTATTAATTGATTCCAGATCAGTGCGGTTCAGTTCAGATTCCCGGAGCTCCACCAGAGCGAATGATGCGGAGAATAAAAGGGAGACGCCCGGTGAGTTCATACATAAAAACACAACATCACACCTTTTATCCCCGAAGGGGTAGGC